CCAGAGCCGTTACCACCATGTCATCTGCTGGCCTGCAATCTGTATTTTAACAAGCATCCAGGTGATTCCAATGCCTAAGCACAATTTGATAACTACTGGGTTAGACCACTGCCTACCAATTGCTAGTTCAAAGATAGGCTGAATCAGAATTGCCATGGGGCAAGGGGAAGGGAGGAGAGCCAGCCCCATGGTTCAGTGGTTAAGCATGGTGCAGAGAAAACCAGACCCGGCATGGCTAACCAGGTCCAAGTTCCAGGATCCTCCTGACAGGATGGAAAATTGACAGAAAAAGGATTGCAGCATAACCAGGCCCCATTGCTTTCTCTTGCTCACACACATGCACACACTCACACACACTTATGCCCTTGTGCACACACACACATACACCCTCTAGCATTAAAAAAAGAAAAGAAGAAAAGGAAAGAAGTTACTTGGGGAACAATCTAACCCCCAGAGATTTTGATTCAGTAAGTCTGGGGTGGGCCCCCGACTGGACTGACATATAAAATATAGGACACCCAATTAAGTTTGAATTTCAGACAAACAAATAATTTTCAGTTGAAGTATGTTCCAAATATGAAATTCAAATTTAATTTAACTGGGCCTCCTGTATTTTTATTTGCCAAATCTGGCAACCCAAGCTAGAGATCTCTGCTTTTAACAAGCTCCTCAGCAGATTCAGCCAGGTTTGACCTAAATCCTCTCCAATCCTTCAAATATTTGAAGATAGGGATTCTGACCACCTGTATATTCTTATAATCTCCCCCTTCTAGGCATCCTTTTTGTTGATGTAGCCCAAGATAACACACATTTTTGGCAGCCACATCATGCTATTGATTCAAATTGAGTCTGTGATCACTGAAAATCCCTAAATCCTTCTTAAATATGCTGCTTCTAAACTATGTCTTCCCCATTCCAATTTTAGAAAGTTAGTCTGGGACCCAACGTGGCATTTCTCACTATCCTGCTTCACCTTCCTAGATTCCTTCCATCTTTCCCATCTGCTGAGTCCTTTTAGAATCTGACTCTATATTTCTGAGTCTTCCCAGGTCGTGCCCTTGATGCATCTGATCATGTTTCATTCCGTCGACAGTGAACATAGTGTATCAGATGTGAGTTAGGAAAGGGCCCTTTGGTCCTTCTCTAAATACCTGCCTTTCTATGGTATTGACCCATTCATCAGTTCCTTTTCTTTTTTTTAGCGGTTTTGTCTTAGTGCACGTGTGCTTGCCGGAGAGAGAGAGAAGGACAGAGACAGTGAGAGGGAAAGTGAGAGATCAACCCCCAGGGGGTATGGCCCACACCGCAATCCCTTTTCCATTCCTGGGATCTTGGAGGAGACACATATACATGCCTGGCGTAATTTTCAAGCCATGGGGTCTGGGACTTGAACCACAGTCGGCCATGTGGGAGTCCAGCAATGTAACCACTACGCCATCTGCTGGTCCCTTATCAGTTCCTCTTGATTACAGGTCAATCAGTCACACAGTACAGAATATCCGTACCCGCCAGCATAATGTCTCCTTCTCCTTAGGAAATCTCACAAGGATTTCATAACATATTCTGTCAGACGCCTTTCAGAGAGACGCTGTGCCTGCAGTAACCCCTAGTCAGCTAGCCCGGCAACCTTGACTTGGAAGGAAGTGCGTATAGTGTGCAGTGATCCATTCTTAGGGGCTCAGGCTCACCTCTAGGGGTTCAGGGCCAGCTTTTCAATGACCCGCCTCAGATTCCTGCCTGGTGCCGCTCCAACTCACCAGGTGAAATGGGTAGAGGCCACTATCTGTCCCAGGAAAATGTATTGTACACCTGTCCCCTCCTGTCTTCATACAGCTCTCCTTTCCTTCTCAATCACTTCTGCGATTACCCTCAGCCACCTAGCAATGTTGCCCGGGCACTCTCCTAGTGCTGAGATAGAATTGGGGGTTGGAGATCTAAGTGCATTCAGAAGTCCAGGCTGAGCTCCAGCCTGGGGAGCCTCGCCCAGGGCAGAGAGAACGTGCAGGATAGCTGTGCTCGGGGGCTCCAAGGGCTCTGGCTGGAGACCTAGCACCTCCTCCACACCCTCGGAGCACCCCCTACCCCTAGCTTGCCTGTTCTGGGGTAAGTTCTGAGGAGCCAGAATGAAAGGAGAGGATGGTCCCCTTCCCTCAAAGGGCTCAAGGTCTAGAAGGAGTCAGATACAAACCAGAAACTGAAGCTCAGCTACATGTGTGAACAAAAGCTGCAGGAACACAAGGAGGGAGTGACTCATCCTTTCCAGAAGAGGGGAAGACTTCCCAGGGGAGGTAGCTTCAGGGCAAGGCCATGAGGATGCGTTAACTCTCCTTAGGTGAAGAAGGGAAGCAGAATTCCAGCCAAGAAGAGCTACATGGACCAAGGCACAAAGGAGGGAGTGAGAGGGAGTGTTGGGGAATGGCCAAGGCTGAGGGGCTGGGGCGAGGCCAGGGATGGAGCTGCAAAGTGGCAGGATGTGAAGGGGCCCTGAGGACCGTATGAGGACTAGGCCAGGTCTTCCTCTACCCTGCCTGCTCCTGTGATTGTCTTTGAAGTGTTCCACCACGTGCACCGAGCCCCACGTGTGCTAGGCACGCGGCTGGCCACTAGGAGTCGGAAGCTAACTGCCCTCAGCCCAGGGGAAGCCAGGCCCAGGTACCCGCAGACTATAGCGTGTGGTAAGTGCTGTGGAAGGGTAGGACCAGCCAGAGGGGAGAGGGAAGGCAAGGAAGGTGAGGATGCCCAACAAGCCCTCTTGGAAGGCAACTAGGAGTCAGGAGAAGAGCATCCCAGGGAGAGGGAGGAGCAAGTGGAAAGGTCTGGAGGCCAGAGAAGCAGAGAATGTGTGTGGTGAGGAGGGATGAGGCGGAGCCAGAGCGGGGGCCTTGTGAGGACTTTAAGCCAAGGTGACAGGAAGTCACTGGAGGCTGGTACCAGGGCATGACAAGATGCAGAGGGAAGGAGACGGCATGGGAGAGGTGGAAATGAATGTGAAGGATGTTGAGAAAGTACGAGGGGCCAACTCGATAACGGGGAGCCACAGTGGGCCAGGCTGACAGGGGCCTCCAAGCTCCACATACGTCCCTGCCGCAGGTGACTGACAGATGGAGGAGTCACCCACGAGCCTGTTACCATGGCTAAGGTGAGTGGGTGATGCTCTGGAGTATCTGGTGGAGCCAGGGCTTAATGCTGGTCTGGACACAAGGCTGGCAGCCTGCAGGGGTTGGGTGGGGAGAGAGAGGTTGGAAGAACCGCTTTGGTCTGTAAGCCCCAGGAACCCCCGCTCCTGACCAGTCTGGACAATATCCCAGGCACAGGTGGGGATCAGAGGCTGAGACGAACAGTAACATCCTTGGGGTCAAACAGCAACGGGGTGAAACTGGAGGAGTCTGACCTAAAACCCAGGGACTTGGGACTCAGGGGAAAGGACATAGGAGAGAAGCTTATGTCCTTACCATCTCTGTCACCTCCTATCACTCTGTCCCCTGGGAGGGGGGGGCAGCCCACCTCTTGTACCTCATTCTGCATCTGTGCCTCTTAGTCTTCCTCTCTCTTCTCTGCCTTCCAGACTCCATGGCTCTGAACACTCTCCACCCCACCACTCTGAGCCAGAAAGGGGAAGACGTGTTGAGGAGGGGAATATGGCAGGAAAAGTCCAGTCCAGGATGTCCAGATGCACCCGATCCCTTCTCTTCCCACCTCCCTCCACCCTACCCTCCCGCCCATCCCACTCCCTAGGAATAAGGCCTCCCTGTTGCTTAGCAACTAGCTGAGCCTTGGAGAAAGAAAATGGAAATAACTCAGGAGGTGCCTCCCCTCTGTTAAGATAGAAGTCCTTGGTGTGTTTGTGTGTGCCTGCTCTACTTTGGGCCTACTGTGAAGCCAATGCCTCTTACCTCCAAACCGTGCTGACTCTGAGCTGCAGGAGGATGTGGCTGCCTGGGAAGCTAATGTCAATGTCACATTTAGTCATATCATCAGAAGCAGTGTTTCCAGAACAAAGGAGGGGACTGTCCTGTGGGTCTTAAGCTGGTAAGGGCCCCTCCCCCCCAAGCCTGGAATTGGCTTTGGAGGTTAGCCAGATCAATGTGGAAACTGAAAACTCCACCTAGGGAGGGAGTGGAGTTGAGCTTAGACAAGGCTCCACCTTCCCATCTCCACAGGGTTTCTCTGGGAGCCCAGTGGGAGGTGGAAGCATGTGTAGTCCGTGGCCACACTGGACAGACCCAGGACAAAGGGCAAAGGGCCTAGTGTGTGTGTGTGTGTGCACGCAAGTCTGTGTGTGTTCGTGGGTCTTAAGCTGGTAAGGGCCCCTCCCCCCCAAGCCTGGAATTGGCTTTGGAGGTTAGCCAGATCAATGTGGAAACTGAAAACTCCACCTAGGGAGGGAGTGGAGTTGAGCTTAGACAAGGCTCCACCTTCCCATCTCCACAGGGTTTCTCTGGGAGCCCAGTGGGAGGTGGAAGCATGTGTAGTCCGTGGCCACACTGGACAGACCCAGGACAAAGGGCAAAGGGCCTAGTGTGTGTGTGTGTGTGCACGCAAGTCTGTGTGTGTTCGGTTTAAACTGAGCCTGAAGGGAAAACGAGAAAACTAAGATTTTCAGAGACTGCCTTGGTTGACTAGGGAGTTAATGAGGTGCTCTAGCAGGAGCAGGGCTGTCCCAGCCCAGGCGAAGCAGACAGGGTGTCCTAGGTAGTTGCTGTGTCCCTGAAGATGACACCATTCCAAGCCCACAACCCTTAGAGGCCACTTAGTGTGACCTGCATCCACGCACTTTACAAACGGGAAAAGCCCAGAGTCCACCCCTCATGCTCTGAGGTGTGATCCAAAGGCGCAAACTTGCGTCTGCCCCCTCCATCTGCCCCCTCCGCTGCATCAGAGGAAGCGGATTAGAGCCTTGAGTGGGCCTTTAAATCTCCAGGATTAACTCGCACAGAGAGAGCTTAGCAGGTGGCAGCCAAGAACTAACCATCCCACCTCGTGTCTGTGTCTGTCCGCAGGGCCAGCGGCAGAGGTCACCAGCTCCGGGGCCAGCCACCATGTCCTCCACCGTGAACAATGGGGCGGCCAGCCTGCCGTCCCCGCCCGACGCCGCCAATGGCTTCCCGCAGCCCGGCGCCTCGTCCGGGGCCTGGCCCCGGACAGAGGAGGAGCTGCGCGCCGCAGAGCCAGGCCTAGTGAAGCGCGCACACCGCGAGATTCTGGACCATGAGCGCAAGCGGCGCGTGGAGCTCAAGTGCATGGAGCTGCAGGAGATGATGGAGGAGCAGGGGTGAGTCGCCGCGGGGCGTGGCAAGGGGCGTGCCCGGAGCGGGTGGGGCTGGAATGGAGGGCGGAGCCTAACAAGCCTGCGGACCCAGGAGCCTAGTCCAGGGAGAGGCCAGAGTCTGGACCAGCAGGGTGGAACTACTGCACCAGCCTACCATCCGTTAGTTTATTCACCCAATAAGCTGTCTTTGAACATCTGCCCTACGCCCAACTCCAAACTGGGCTCCAATCCACACAAGCCAAGAAGGCAGTCCCTGCCCTTCGGAAACATTCAGTCCAACAAGGGAGAGAGGCATGAAAGCATCAAGGATAATTCAAGGCTTCAGTTTCCCCATCTATAAAATGGGCGTATCGAGCTGGCAAGCTGGAACAACTGGGCAGGAAAGCATAACAGGCCCTCACTTTGTGGGCGGGCTGCCTGTGGTGGCGGCGGAGGAGGCCCCCCTGCCAGTAACCCATAAACTGGGGTTCACCCGATCCAGTTCTGACCCAGGCACTGTGCTGGACAATGCTGGGCCCAGAGCTGACTGGAGTCTCTTCCTGTCCTCAGAGACCACCCACACCACCATCCCAGAACAGAAACAAGCATGTTAATAACCCACTCTGCAGAAAATCAGAATCATGATTACAGGACAGGGCAGGAGAGGGCCGAGTGCTACCGGGGCTCTGAGGAGAGATTCTGTGAGGAGGGAAGGCCACCAGGGGAGCAGACATTGGAATGGACCCTGGAGGATGTGTAGGAGTTTGTCAGACTGAAAAGGAGGGGGTGAGACCAATCTCCAACCACTGAGTACATCCCTCAGTAAGGGGTTAGATACCCGCCTCCCCTAGTCTAGTAGCATGAAAACAGCCCTCACACTTGCAGCTGGAGGCAAGAAACAGGGCAAAGCTGTGACTGCTCGTGCAGCTCCAAGGGAAGGCGGGTGACCTAAGGCTCCCTTTTGCATCTGCCTGAGTGTTTTGAAACCAGTGGGCTGGCTGCAGAGGGAGGCAGAGTGGGAGCAGGGCCGTGTGTCAGACTTGCATTGTCAGTGAGCTGAGAAATCAGAGCCCCTGGATTGGAGCCTGGAGCCAGGTGGGGCCAGTCACAGTCCACGTGCAGCAGTCCCTCCAAGCCACACCTTTGTGCCCAAGAGGTGGCCACATCTCCACAAAGCTCAGGAAGACACCAGCGATCAGACAGAGACAGCCGCTTGCTGAAGGTCATCCGGAAGCCGGCCAAGGCTGAGCCTGGACCCAGAGTCCTGGCTGCTGCCCGGCAGGGCTGTTTGTAGGAGGAAGAGACACAGAGGCCTGGTGCTCACTATGAGCTGGGGACCAGGTAGGGGTGAGAGGCTCCTGCAGAAAGAGATGGATGGCTGAGAGGAGGCTGCAGACAGACAGAAAGAAGCCTCCAGCTGGCAGCGAAAACACATTTGATGAGCTGAGGGCCATGGGACAAGGAAATGAGATCCCAAGGGGGCAGGGCAGGGTAGTGGGTGGGGAGTGGCAAGAACTACCACCTTAATTAAATCTGAAAATCCTGCTGAGTTGGGACACTTAAGCAGTGAGAGGAGTGTGGGCAGGAGGGTGTGACAGGGACAAAGGCCAGCCTTCTGTACTCTACTGCCTCCTCCCCTGACAGAGCCTCACTGCCTTCCTAAGCCCCTCTCTTCTCTCTGAGCCCCCCTCTTCATTCCACTTTCCCATCCCCAAAGGCCTCCCCCTCACAGAACCCATCCTTTCATTGAACCCCTATGGGCCCTCCCTCGCCGAGTCCCTCCCCCTTCCAAACAGAGGAGATGGCACTCAGCCATGTCCTTGGTGTTAGACCCAGCATCAAGAACCCCTGCCTTCTGGGCAGCACAGCTGGATCTCCGGATGTTCATCTAGGACCCCTTTTCCCACCCAAGCCCTCCTCCCCACCCAACCCTCATTTCCTCCAGGCGGTCCTTAGACTGTAGTCTCCCCCAGAAACTGGCTCTTTCGTTACCACCCCTGCCCCTCCCCCCTCCCTTAGCAGCAGTCTGGCCAGGGGAGGCACAGCCACTCAAAACCAGTGCTCCAGGCTTCCAGCCCCAGCCCAGCCAGGGGCAGACCACAGTCTACTTACCTGTGAAATGGGGATGTTTGTCTTCTGGAGTCGTTCTGAGGTCCTGTGAATGGAGGAGGCCCAAACAGGACCACCCAGCTCCCAACCAGCCCCCACAAAGTGGGGCCACCCTTGCTCTTTAATAAAACCCAGTCATTAATATCCATTTCTAAAAATGCCGCCTCATTCATGTTTATTTACCAGATTTTCCGGTATTTGACAAATATTCCCTCCAGTCTCAGGAACACACACCCTTTGGCCCCATTAAAAAGCAATCCCTTTCCTTAATATTGATGGATGGCTGGTAATTCGCTGGTGATTGATGCCGCACTTGGAGTCACCTTCCCAGGCAGCCTCTGCACACAGCCTGCAGTCACCACAGAGGTGGGGACAGAGCCCCCAGCCTTCTCGATGTAATACTTCCACCCCAGCCCTCAGCAGCCTCCTACCAACGCAGCCTGTCTTCCTGCCACACCCCTTCTTGTGAGGAGGTAGGTTAAGCCAGCAGCATGGCTCTGCCCCCAGCTAGGCTGGGAGCTTTGAGCCCTCCCCTGCCCTGTTCAGTTTGCTCATCTATAAAATGGGAATAAGGCTACCCGCTCCACCCCAGAGATAGGGTGAAGAAAGTGATTATCTAGGAGATTCTGGGTCTGGGCAGGGACAAATTTAAACATCTTCCACTCCAGGGACTTCTTAAAATGCAGTGCTCCCTCACTTCACCCCTACTCCAGAGAGTAACCCAGGAAGTCCTCAATGCCACTGTGAATTTGGCATGCCCTTCCCTCATGGCCCACAGAGTGGAATGAGGACCAAAGAGGTTGGGGCTGCACAGACATCATTGCCTGATATTCCTTCCCCTCCTCATCCACCCCTGCCCCCGACCCACAAGCCCTTGCCTTAGAGTCCGATGCATTGGCCTTGCTAGCCAGTTAGAGGCATCAGCTCAGGGTAGTCTAAGCCACATTGGGCTAGGGGTTTGGAAGAAAGGCCAGGCCAGGCCAGAACCCAGCCTTCCCCATGATGCGCTACCAGAGTCAGATGCTGGTTGGGTGTCAGGGGACAGCTGTTAAGTAGGGGGTGCTCCTCACCCAGTCTCCCTTCATATTCTATTGGTGCTCAGGTCTCAGCCACACTCCCTCATGGACGATTTCTGCCTACTTCTTCCCTTCCATCCTCAGGACCACTCTTTCGCTCTGACTTCACCTTCTCCTTCCTGAACCCCTACAGTAGGCTGTTCTAGCCTGTTCTGTTGCTCATAAGAGAAAATACCTGAGTCTGGGTGATTTATAAAAATAGAGGTTTATTGGGAACCAGCAGTTGGCGTAAAGGCTATGTTGCTGGACTCCCACGTAGTCGACCGCGGTTCGAGTCCCGGACCCAGTGGCTTAGAACTCACTCCGGGCGCGTGTGCGTGTGTGCCCGAGATCCCAAGAGAATGGAGGAGAAGGGATTGCAGTGTGACCATCCCCCCTGGGGGTGATTTCTCGCTTTCTGTCTCTATGTCTCTCTCTGTCTGTCTGGCGAGCACACGCGCCCTATAGCGAAAACCTCTCAAAAAAAAAAAAATAGAGGTTTATTTGACTCTATTTGGAGATCCAAGGGCCAAGGGCCACATCTAATGAGAATAGTGCCAAGTCCTGAGGTGTTGCATTATGAGGGCAAGCGCAGAGCATCTGTGTCCGTGAGTCTGTCTGTCCCATTCCTTCTCCTTATAAACCACAGGACTCAATCACAGGGCCCCCACCTGATGTCTAGTCACTTCCCAACCTTCCAACACCGTAATCAGATGGTGTTTTCACCCTCTTAATCCCATTGCAATGGCCCACCAAATTTTAACACATGAATTTGTTGGGGAGGATATTCAAACCATAGCAGTAGCCAGTGCTAGCTTCCTGCCCACAGATCCCTCTCCTCCAGCCATACAGCCACCACAGCCATTGTCCCAAAACTATAATCCAACCTCCAAACTCTCCGGTGCCTCTTCATCACCAGTTCATTCATTTATCAAAAACTTTGGGAAGCCGCAATATAGGCAGGCTCAGTGCCAGGTGCTGAGGACTCCACGGCAAACCAGACAGACAAGGCCCTTGCCCTCAGGGAGCTCCAGGCCTGCAGGATCCAGACAAGAAGACAGATAATTACCAGAGCGTGAACCACCTGCCAGGATCCAGAGGCACTAGTTGCTATGGAAATGCAACGCTGGCACGAACCTGGTCAGGGTATCCATCCTGCTGTAAACATCCAATGACTCAAATCTTTGTACTTAGCCATGATTATTTCCACAGGGTAAGCCTAGGAGTTAATTCAGGAGTCAAAGGATGTGTTCATTAAAAAAAAAAAAAAAAAAAGATTTTAGAAGAGAATTGCCAAATTTCTCTCCAGCAAATGTTTGCTGAAGGAGTGGGGAAAAGGGTGGAGAGGAGAATGGGAAAAAAGAGATGGGAGCCCTGAGAGGAAACAACATACCATCTTCATGGACAGGATGCATGGGAGCAGAAGTTGCTGGGCCTGCTCTAGGAACAGATAGTGGATGGGGAGACAAACTAAGACCCCTGTTTCTATTCTGCCACTACATCTTCTGTCTAGGTCAATGACCTGCAGCCCAGAGAGGACAAAGGAAAGGGTCTGAGTTCTCAAGATTCATTAATAGCCATCGCACGCCTGCTGTGTGGCAGGCACAGGACAATAGGCTGCATAAGTAAAGACCTTCAAGAGACAACATGGGCACAGGCTGGAGGGGGAGACAGCAGAGGACTAGGAGTCCAGGCAGAGTGTCAGGGTGAGGCAGTGAGAGCGGATGCTGACTGGCCCCAGGGTATGGGATTAGGGGTGAGGAGTAGATAATGCTCAGCTTTGGCCCCTAGCCTGACACTGGGCTCAGGGAGGGAGGAGGGATTGGAGAACTCAGTAGCTTCCATCCGAAGCCTTGACTTCATCCACCCTCCACCCCAAGCCAGAGGCAGAGAGAAGTGGTAATCTACCACTGAGATCCCAGGCAAGCCGGGGGGCAGCCTTGATCTGGCAGAGGTGGGACTGCTTTGAGGATCTCTGAAGGCTGTCGTTAAGATCAGATGTAAATGAGGCCAGGAGAGCACAAAAGGCCATGCATGTATTATACCAAAGCAGGGATTCTCACTTCTCCCTGAGGATTCCTCAGTATCTTGAGGGAATGCCTGTGGTCTGGCTGTGGGTGGAGGAGGACAAAGAGAAGGGGCTCGACCTCACCTGGTGTCTCTCTCCACCTCTAGGAGCAATTCTTCCTTTTGTCTATGTGTTTGTTTGTGTGGCTGGTTGGTTGTTTAGTTAGTTGCTTGGCTGGCTGGATTGGTGCAAAATGGCCAGGTCTTGAGCGTCCTCAGGGCTGAGGGCCTGGCTTTGTTCTTTGACCTCAGACAAGTTACTGAAGCTGGAGTGTGCACTTGTGATCCAGGGCCAGGGGCATGGGCTGGACTGTAGGTGGGGGGTCGAGGGGCAGTCAGGAGGGAACCCAAGCCAGGAGAGCAGCCCTCACCCTGCCTATGCCACTGCAGGTACTCAGAGGAGGAGATCCGGCAGAAGGTTGGGACATTCCGGCAGATGCTGATGGAGAAGGAGGGAGTGCTCACCAGGGAGGATCGACCTGGGGCCCACATGTGAGTGCCTGGGAAGGGGGTGCAGGCTCAAACAGCCGCTGTGTACCAGGGGGTTGGGGGCTGTTCAGGTGCTCCCTCAGGTCGCTGGGATTGGGAGGGAGGAGGGGAAGGAAAAGGAAGAGAGGTGGGCACTGACCCTATCCACTGGAAGCTCTGACCTAGCCCAAGGCACAAGGTGGGAGCATCTGGACATCACTGAGGGCCTCCCTTGCCCACTCCTGGGTCTATCTATGGCTTGGGTGTGTGTGTGTGTGTGTGTGTGTGTGTGTGTGTTTGTGTGTGCAAGTGGGGTGGGGGTAAGGGCAGCCCAGATCTCATTCAGGGACTCCCGGGCTGCAAATCAGGAAACTTCAGAGATGTTCTGACCCAATCGTTACCACTATCGGAGTGGGCCCCAGGTAAGCCCCCGTAAGCCATCTGTAAAACAGACTCCAGAGTAAGCTTGTGCTCTGGGAAAGAAGAACCCACCCAAGAAATACCACTGTTGTCATGGCCAGTGGCTTGGCAGAGAGAGAGTGTGGGCTCAGCTGAGATTTCATCTCTGCAGCCTGTCGGGACAGGAGAAGCCCAGTGTACTATGGCACCTGGATGGGTTTGGGATCAAACAGGGATATGATAAGGGGTAAATGTCTGAGAGCAGAGGAAAACTGTGAAGTACTCAAAACCATACAAAAATAAAAAAAAAAAACAGAGCCTGCTGCCCACAGTGTCCACCCACCCAAGAAATCCCACTGTTGTCATGGCCAGTGGCTTGGCAGAGAGAGAGTGTGGGCTCAGCTGAGATTTCATCTCTGCAGCCTGTCGGGACAGGAGAAGCCCAGTGTACTATGGCACCTGGATGGGTTTGGGATCAAACAGGGATATGATAAGGGGTAAATGTCTGAGAGCAGAGGAAAACTGTGAAGTACTCAAAACCATACAAAAATAAAAAAAAAAAACAGAGCCTGCTGCCCACAGTGTCCAGCCCCATGCCTGGCAGGGAAGGCAGTGTGTGTTTGGGAAGCATCGTGGAACCCACTCGGATGGACCTTCCCCTTGCTAGTCCTCAGTTTCCCCATCCAGCACCAACATCCATGCTCCTCTGCTGGGGGGGAAATGGAGGCTGGGTGAGAGACCCGGTCATTTCCTCAGGAGTTGGACTAGTTTGGGGACAGGCATCTTGCTGAGACCCTAATGCCTTTTACCCCCTTGACTCACACAAAATGAAGGCAGCTTCTTGTGAATGGTGGTCTTGCCGCAATCATAGGAATAGAAAAACCCTGACGGAGAATGAGAAGCCCTTTTGGCAAACCTTCTGGATTGCTGGGAACATCAGGGGTGGAGTCTTTCCTCCTTACCTGGCTTTAACCTCATCTCTCTGGGCAGAGTAGGGGCGAGAGCTAAAACAGCCACAGCTTGTGGGTGATCTTGGGAGCCAGGCTCAGCCAGCCTGATCTTGCCTCTTCTCTGAACCTCTGCAGCCTCCCAGACCTTAGCTGCTCCTGCATCATTCCCCTCACTGAGGCCCCAGCCAGACCCAACAAGGGCAGGCCCAGCCTTCCTCCTCCTTCTCAAGCCCCCCGACTACCAAATTCTTCCCACCCCTGCCTACACTATCCACAGGCAAACAGGAGGCCTGGCTTGCTTCTTCTTCTTCTTTTTAATTTTTCTTTTATATTTTTTTAAAATTAACTCACTAGAGGGTACATGCATTTGCTGGAAAGAGACAGAAAGACTAAGGGGGGAAGTGAGTAAGCAACCCCAGGGAGATGGCCATACCATAATCCGTTCTCCTCCACTCTCCTCTTGGAATTTTGGGCATGCATCCACACATGCCCAGTTTATTTCTCAAGCCGCTGGGTCCAGGGCTTGAACCACTCAGTCAGCCATGTGGGATCCAACCACATCAACCACCACACCACTACCTGGCTCAAGGCCTGTGTGCCCTCGTATTTCTAACCTGTGCCCCCTCACATAGCCTTGGAGCTTCTCTGGAAAATACCCACCCTTCCCACTTCCATGCAGTGTGAGTGAAGGCAGAACTTCTCTGGATTCTCATTTTTCAACTATCCCTGGGCCCCTTTAGTGATGGCCACCCCCTACAGCTCATGCCTGCAGTTCTTCCCTTTCCTGTCTCATTCCTCCTAACGTAATTTCTGTCCTAAAAAAAGATGTCCTTCCGTCAACTCTGCATTCTCCTGCAACAACCATCCCACATTTTCTTTCCTTTCTCTACCAAGCTCCTGTAAAGAGAGTATGACACACATGGTCTCCAGTTCCTTAAGCCACGGAGATCTGGCTTCTGCCTCTGTGACTACTACAGCCTGTTGGTGGCCAGAACACAGTCACCCAAGTCTTGCTTACCCCAGCCCATGGCTTCTCTGCAGGCCTGGGCCTTCTCTGGCATGTGCCACCATCATGCGTCCCCTTTTGGGAGCCTGCTTTGCTTCCTGGCTTCCAGGATGTGATCCTCTGAGTTTCTTCCTGGCCTCTGACAACTTCTGCTGTCTCCCCTTCTCCTGCCCATTTCCCAGAGGTTGGTTCTCTCCCAAGGTTCTATCAGATCCTCAGGTCTCTCTCCCACCCTTGTCTCTGGCAGATCACACCCATCTAGACACAGCTGGAATTCTGTCCCATTAGTGGACGGCTCCCAAGTCTTCTCCATTAGTCCTGATCTTCTCTTTACATGAATGAATGAATGATGAATGTAAGAGTCAGGACCCACAGGTAAATATATCATGGAGAGGCTGCAGTATTTTCATCAGCAGCAGAATTATCCTGAAGCATCTGTGCTGCATACCTAACTCTGGGCTAGGTGGGAGAGACAAGAGAGGAGGAGGTGTTCTGGGGGCTCCCCACTCTCTGGGTGGAAACACAGCTTCCAATTTGAAACTAGGAATTACTGGAAACTCCTGACAAGAAGAAATGGCATAGGCTTTCCAGTTATTTAGTCCTCAGGCCCTGTGAATGTTAATGTTTAGTGGGGGAAGAAATGGGGACAGAGAGGGTGATCAATCAGGAAGGCTTCCTTGGTGAGGCAGTGCCTGAAAAACTCAATGATCAGAGAAAAATTGATCAGATGTTCTGGAGACAGGAGATGGGACAGACTTAGAGTCCTGGGATACCACTAGAATCCCATTCCGTAAGGACAAGACTTTTCATCAGTTTTGTTGCTATACCCTTGATTCTTAGAAATTGAACTTGCCCAATTTTTCCCTAAGGCCTCAGTTTCTGTTTTTCAGTAAAGGGATTAGACTAGAAATCTTCTTTTGGCTCTCATCCAAAACGGTATGAATGAGCAGGGAGCTAAAAAAACTGGTGGCCACCTGGGTTCCTACAAGGAGGGTGGGGCTGTCCGTGATGCTGAACTCAAGGCTGCCTTGGCCTGAGGCAGAGAGGCGAGGGGTAGCGGTGAGGAAGGTCTAGTGACAGATTGGTCGTGAGTGTTCCTGAGAAGCTGGCATCTGTCACCTCACTTACTTCTTAGCTATGGGGTAGCTGAGGGAGACTGTGGGCTCATATTGGGGCACTCCATCTGCATGACCCTCTAAGTTCAAGGTTAACCCTCTGAGCTCTGGATCCCAGCTCCACTACGTCCCAGCTGTGCAACTTGGGCAGTCTCTTGATTTCTCTGGGCCTGTTTCTTTATCTATATAATGTAGATATTAGTACCTACCTCATGGGGTTGTTGAGAAAATTAAATGAGACCGTGGTGGTAAGTGTGAGCAGCAATGCCTGACACTCAGCAATACACATGGCATTGCTACTAGACCACCATCACCACCCTTGTGGGTGCCTGGCAATAGCAAAGACCCTCCCAACCTTGATTTATACCCTTCTGGTGGACGGTCTCCATCCTCTCTGCCAATGCAGGATTCGCTCAGGAGTCTATGACACCCAGCAGTGCTCATGCCTTTGCCTTTTGACCCTGATACCACCCCCAACAATAGAATGTTTTTGTTTTTTTTAATTTGCCAGAGGGTGTATGTGCTTGCTGGAAAAAGAAGAGAGAGAAAGCACCCCCCTGGGGCATGGTCACAGTCATGCTGCAATCCTTTCTCCATCTCTCTCGCCTTTGGGGATTTGGGGCACACATGCTCATGTACCTGTGTATTGCTCAAGCCTCCAGGGCTGGAATTTGAACCATGGTCAGCCATATGGGATCCAGCTGCCTGGATCCATGTCACAGAGCTGGCCCATAAGCAACCTTCAGGAATAATTATTTTTGGGGTCGGCAGGTAGCGTGGTGGTTAAGAATGCTGGACTTCCACATGGTCAACCACAGTTTGAGTCCTGGACCTGGCGGCTTGCTTTCTCACATTCTCTCTATCTCTCTCTCTTATTTAGAATAAGTAAATAAATAAATAAAGTTAAGTAAAATAATTTTTAAAAACTTAAAAAGAATAATTATTTTCATAGTTATATAACAAAATATTTGGAGGAGGATTTATAAGCTACTTCTGCACACAATACAAAACAGTCTCTTTTTTTTCTCTCTGTTACTAATTTTATGTATAACACAACCTCTCTGTGCTGTATTTTTTTATTTTTTTGGAGAGGTTTTTGCTATAAGGCACATGCGCTCGCCAGACAGACAGAGAGAGACAGAAAGCGAGAAATCACCCCCTAGAGGGGATGGCCACGCTGCAATCCCTTCTCTTCCATTCTCCTCCTGGGATCTTGGGCACGCACATACACGCACCCGGCATGAGTTTTAAGCCACTGGGTCCAGAACTCGAACCACGGTCGACTACATGGGAGTCCAACGACATAGCCATTACACTAACTGCTGGTCCCTCTATGCTGAATTTTGAATGTATAGGATGGGAATATTGATAGTGTCCAGGTCATAGGCTGTTCTGAGCATTAAACAACGATATGAGACAAAGACATGTGAAGTGCTCAGAACAGTACCTGGCACCTGGGATATGCACCATGGCATCTATGTGCCCTGCTGAGGAGCTACACGAGAGGCTCCAGGCCTGACTCCTCCCTGTTGCTACCACTACTACCCCTGTTCA